TAAATTCATTGCTAATATTTAAATATAGAAAATTTCTCATAAAGGTCTGTAGTCTGTACTTCCCTAGAAAAAGTGAGAGGGTCTGGTCACCCACTTCTGCGCGGTCCCACTGGCTCAGCCGAGAACCCCTGCCCCTCGTAGGCCTGGGATGGACTGTACACCGACTTCCTGCTATTCTCCTAGCCTGGGCATCCCCTTATTCCAGCCTGCCAGAGAACCCAGGGAGAACAAGCTGAAGTTTGGCAGAGAGGATGTGGTGTAGGGAATGGTCTTCATTAATGAAACTTTGGAGTTCAAGGTTTCAGACTGCTGCCCTCTCTGCCATGTACCCCTCTTTCCAGGATCTTTAAGAGACTGTTGCTAGAGACCTGATTTGCTTTCCAGTTGAGTCTGACTTGTGTTCTCTCTCCCCTCTGCACTGCTAGCTGTTGAGTCTGACTTGTGTTCTCTCTCTCCTCTGTACTGCTAGCTGTTGAGTCTGACTTGTGTTTTCTCTCTCCTCTGTACTGCTAGCTGCCCACCTCATACACAGGAGCCTGTGACCAGTCTGCAGGCTGGAAGCAGGTTACTCAGGGTTGCTCTGGCTACACCTGGAGCAGGTTCAGTGGAGGGGAGCAGCAGTCTTCATCTGGGGAGAAGCTGTGTCCCTTCTGGGCTGGCTCTGGGCCAGGTGCATTTCCTGGCTCCCTGCATCTGGGCGGTGGTCGGCCTGTTAACAGTGCAGATTCCTGGACTTATGCAAGCCCCTTAGAAGGCAACTCTTGGTGTCACCTCTGACACCTGTGCTGAACAAACTGCTCTGGTGGCTTTTCCCTCACACAGCTCTTTGAGAACCACCAGTTCGGGGGCTGCATTTCAGTCCCAGGCTCTACCAGACTTATAGCAACTTGTATTTTTGGCCTTTTTACAACCTTCATCTCAAACTGGTGCTTCTCCATTCATCAACTGACCCTTGCAGTGTCCAAAGAGAGGCAGAGCTGAGGGACTGTGACCTGAAGCCCACAGTCCAGAGCCTAGACCTGCTTCCATCTCCTGCTGCTTCTCCTGTCACCCTCCCTATCCCATCTTCACCTTACCCCCATCCTCAACACCTCTCTGCACACCTTGAAGTTCCCACAAAGATTCCTGCTTCATTTCCTTGCCAAGCATGTGTCCAAAGTACTCTTGTTTCCATGGGCTGCCTAATGTCTATTCACCCTTTGAGGAATCAGCTTTGCCAGTACTACCTCTGAGAGGTCTTTCCTGATTGGCTCTGGCGGGGTGTGCTGAGATGGCAGCAGGGAGGCCCTGGTGGTAGTTCTGGGTGCAGGTGCTGCAGTGGGGAGCAGAGAGGAGGCAGAGAGGGGTCCAGGAGGGGAGTGTTACCTCCAAGGTAGAGGGGGCTGTTGATGCCTACTGCTGGCTGCTTCTGGAGCTTCCCAAGGCTCTTTGGTGCTCCTTTATCCACCACCAGGTTCAAGGTCTGGTTTAGCATCACCAGCTCCACGCTGTGAAACTGCCCATCATTTACTGTCTCCACACTAGGCAGGAAAGAAAGGAAAGAGCCAATAGTTTTCCTTCCATGGCCAGGCATTGGGCTGCCAACTTGACCAGCATCACTTACGTTTTGTTTTTTTCTGGTTCTTTTGTTTGTTTGTTTTTGTTTTTTGAGACAGGCTCTCACTATATACTTCGGGCAGGTACTGAACTCATTGTGTAGACCAGGCTGGCCTCAAATTCGAAGAATCCTCCTGCCTCAGCCTCCCAAGTGCTGGGATTACAGGCGTGCGTCACCATGCCTGGCTTTTACCTTTTATTTGGAAACAACTTCAAATTTAATTAAGTTCCAAAGATATGGTACAGAAAATACAACCAAACTTCTCCTATTATCTGCTTTTGCTTTATCATTTATTTCCCCTACCCACACATTTCCTGAACCCTTTAAAGATAAAGATATATACATTGTGGTCCTTAAACCCTAGATACCTTACTGTGCATTTCCCAAGGATGAGGGTATTCTCTCAAATAAAACAGCATAGTTAACAACTCAGGTAAGTTTAATATTCACACCATTCTTTAATCTATCTTCTGTGCAAATTTTCCAATGGACCCAATAATGCCCTTTGTAGTATTTTCTACTACTACAAAATCCAGACTAGTGTCAGGTAGTGCATTTAGCAATCAGTATGTATTTGCATTGTTTCTGTCATTTAATAGTGGTAATCTGTCCTTCAGTCACCTTAATTATAGCTCTCCCTGTGTACTGCCTGGACATCATCATCATCATCATCATTATTATTATTATTATTATTTTGGTACCAGGGATCAAACTTGGGTCCTTGTGCTTGTGGGGCAAGCAGCAGAACCACTGAGCTAAATCCCCAGCCCAGCCACCTGGACATTATTTACTTAATACATTTACCATTTAATCGTCCTGAATTCCCCTTGAATATCCCTAAGCATTTAAGTTGGCACTGCTCTACAGATATTGTTCCAGAAAAAATTTGTTTTAGTGTGACTTTAATTTTTTCTAGTGTGTAGGAAATGAATTCTCCCATTTAAAATACCAGTAGTTTGTCTTTGTCCCACCTAAATTCATCTCATGGCCCACTTATGTCATGTTGTACCACATTTGGGGAAATAATGCCATGCAATACTCTTGCCAAGTAAGTTTGTTGTTTCCATTGCAGAAATGAGGAGATGGAAGCTTGGGGAAATTAAATAGTTTACCCAAGACTTCAGAGCTAATCAATGATACAGCAAGGGTTTGAACCAAGGTCCACACCCCTTCCTCATGCTACCAGTCCCAGCATGTACTCCAAGGGTATCTGATGGGCCAGACATGATGCTAACTGGGTCACATTATGTGAATGTCATAACTCTATGAAATGGGATATCTGTACGTACCAGATACCCTATTTCCCAGATAGACACTGATGCCCAGAGGGGTTAAGTGCTTTGTCTGAGATCACCCAGCTAATACCGGAGATAGAATTCACAGAGAAACTAAAATTAAAAATAAATAAGGAGGAAAGGTTTATTTTGGCTCACAGTTTTGAGATTTTAGTCCATGGTCACTTGGCCTTGTTTTGGGTCTATAGTGGCACAGTACATTGTGGTAGGAGTGTGTGGCAAAGGAAGCCTTTTCATCTCATTGCAACCAGAAAGCAAAATACAAGTGAGAAGGGGCCAGTGCCCAGGTTCCCTTCAAGACCTGCCCCAGTGACCCAATTTCCTCCCTCGAGGCTCCACCTGCTTGAAGTTCCACAGCCTCTCAGTAGCAAAGCAGGCTGGCAGCCAAGCCTTCAACACATGGGATTTTGGGGATCCAGCTCCCCACCCCCGGTGTATGTAATAAATGCTGGGCAGCTGCCTGCTGTAAAGGGCGCTGTGGGGGTGGCTGCCGCTGTGGTGGGTGGTCTTGGCACACCCAGGATTACAGTTTAGGGAGGGAGGGGCAGCTGTTTTCCATTCTAGATACACACAAGTACAGTGAACACACACACCAGCCCCTTCCTGGCTGCTGGCTCCGTTCTCACTTCCTGAGTTCCCTGGCCAGCCCAGGACCTGGTGCATGGCCTCTGAGGGCAACCAGCCAGGAAGAAGCCCCTTCACACTCATTCTGGGCACTGCAGTGGGAGAGTAAGTTAGTGGACCATAGTAGAGCCTGTCTACTGACTCAACCTTACAGCTGCTCAGGGCTTTGAGTTTCTGCATATTTCCACTGGCTCATTATCATCTCTGAATGTACTCTTGTGAGCCCCTTGTTACAGGGATGGAACATAAAGAACTTGACCAAGAACAGCGTGCTTGGAAGTGGTGGAATTGAGGTTTAAAGTCAAGATGGATTCCAAAGCAAAACCTCCATAACTTTGTCTGTGCCAGCCAATGCTCATGGGTACAAGGGTCGCCTTGTTCCTGGTTCAACTTAACCTGAGTTTCCTGGAAACAATGCCTAAAGTCAGTGCTTTTCACATAGTGAGTCCCTGGAGGTTTGGGGTGGGGGCAGTCCTGAAAGGTCTGATTACCGCCATCCCCAAATAAGAATGGCTCCATTTCTATGTGCTTTTAAAAAAAAAAAGTCTTGGCCTTTGAAATAAAATATCAGTGGGAAGAATGATTCTACCACTACAAGAGAAACAAACAAATGAAACCCTGTTGTTTGCATTAAAAGAAACAGTAATAGTATGGCGCCAAGCTCCAGAAATTAGTCTCCTGGAGAGATATTTAGGGATTTCAGGGGAAAGAAGGAGGACCTGAGAGTCTTTCTCATTATCTACTGGGTCAGTCTGAGCCAGCACAAAGGTGGAGGGGGACAGCATGGAAGGTGGCAGAGCTAGGCTGGATGGCTCCTGTCTGGGACTGGCATGACCACACGTTCTGGTCATTTTGGCCATTAACCTCTCTTATGCTTTTAATAACTGGTGGGTAGGCATGCAGTGAGTACTTGGGAAGGGCCAGGAGCTCTATGCAAAGGTACCAAAGGCACCTGAATTCTCGCAATGAACCTTAACACCCCCAGGTGGGAGGCACAGTTCCTTTGCTATTTGGAAACAAGAGACTTAAAGTGTCCAGTGTTTTTTTGTTTTTTGTGTTTCTTTTTCTTTAATGCTCAGTGTTTTACAGTGGCAATGGTCCCACCTCTCAGCCACAGGACCCTACGCCATTGTTCAAAAAGGGGATGGTGAGGGTGGTCCTTCCTCTGGGTGCTCGTGGTTCTCACCTGGAGGCCAAATGTGACCAATAGGTGGTGGTAAAGCTCCATAAGAACAAAAAGTGCCTGCGATTTAGTTGGACAGCAGCTTGACTCTTGCACTCCAGTGTTCTCTCTTCTGGCCCTGTCGTCAGCAAGGAGGTTGTGCCCATGGAGTAGGGCAGGAGATCTGGCAGAGCACATTTTGGTGGAAGCCTGACTTGGGTTTAAACCCCAACTCTGCCACTTAACTAGGCTTCCTCTGCATATCAGACTTCTTATCCCTCAAAGAGGAGTGATGCTGCTTGCCTGGGGCTTGTGCTGAGGATCAAATGAGACAAAGATCTTGGCAGAAAATGGAACTGTGGTAATTAAGACCCCAGGAGCACGCACCGTGCCAGGTGGAGCTTGCTTGCGGTTTTAAAATGGCAGACATCTAAAAGCTGGGATATTTCACACAGAAATCAGCTTTTCAGCTTCTCTTGATAATGTGTATTCCCCCATGGCAGCATCTGTTGGAGCTGAGGTCAGATGCCCCTCTATATGTGGCCTGTGCCCTCCTGGCTACTGCAGTCCCCAGTGCTCCCTAATGTACATCTAGCCTCGCTGCCCTGTGAATTTTACCTGCTTGGCCTCTTGGCCTTGCAGGCTGGTGAATTTACTTTCTAATAATTGTTGATACTGAGGATTAGAGAAGTCTATTTCATTATGATCCAGGGCAGGGCTCAGGTGGGCTTTCTGTGTATTCCCCTGGTGACCAGGAATAGAATCTCGACGCACCTTTACTACCTCCCATTACCATGGCTGAGCAGCTGAACCCAAGCAGGTATCAGCAGGAGGAAGACCCTGGGACCCAGCTGCTCCAGGTCTTCAGTCCTGCAGGGGCTCTGGTTGCTCATCCTCAGGAATGGGCTGTCCATGGGGTTCTCAGTGGGCAGAGGTCTGTAGGCTCCCAACTCCCCTGACAGATCGGCTCTGGTGACTTTCTGGCTCTCACCCTAGGCTTGAGGTGGCCTTCCTGGGTCACTGAAGTGACCCTAAGGAGAAAACTATTTTTGTTTTTGTTTTTTTTCTAGAATGGCCTCCTGACCCCTTCAGCTGCTAATGGCTCAGCCTTTGTCCTTCATTCACTCGAGGATCTTTCACCACAACCCCTACTGAAGCCTCCCCTGGCCTCTCCTCTTCCTAGACTGTGGAAATGCTTCTCGGTGTAAGATAAGCCTCAGCACAAACATCATCTCCTCTTCTAGGGATCTTTTCCTGGTCCTCCCAGCAAAAACATTTGTACTGTTTTCAGAAGTGTCCTCACAGAACGATGCTGGTGTCCCCATTGGGATGCATTTGATCCTGCTACTGCTGGTTCGTGTGTGTGTCTTCTCCCCTGGCCTGTGTGTGTTTCATCCTGTTTCCTACATCTGGCCCAGGCCAGGTTGAAGGTGCCTGACAGGTGTTTACCAAATCAATGCGCTGAAGAGAGCACTACAGCTTGAGCTCCTCTAAGCTAAAAGTATGAAATCCAAAATACCCCAAAGTCTGAAAAATTCTGAACACCAACATGATGTTACAAGCAGAAAATTCCACATCTAACTCATGTAATGGGTCAAAATCAAAGCACTGGCACAGTAAAAAAGACTATAAAATTCCCTTTAGGCTCTGTGTATTTGGTTTATATGAAACATGAGTGAATTTTGTGTTTAGATTTGGATCGGATCCCCAAGTATGTATACACAAATATTCCCACATAAGAAAGGCTTTGAAATCAAAAGCACTTCTAATCTCAAGCATTTTGGGTAAAAGATATTAAATCTGTACTAGGGCAAAAACAGGATTGCCTCAGAGGACTATATTGGGAAGCAAATCCTTTTTTAATATGGCATTTCTAGAGCCTGGGGCCCCTTATGACCATGAGCTGAAAGGCAGTAAAGATCTGTCAACGGCTTGGCTTGAGAATCCACGTCAGGCTTGCCTGGACAGGTGTGACTCAGCTCCTCCCATGGATCAGGCCAAGTCTGGTGTCTCTCAGGGCCACTTCCTGAACTTCATGACTGTTCTTGGGAGGTAGCAATTCTCTTTCCCATCTCATAACTCAGCGTAGTGACTCCACATTTCCACTACCAACATCATCCTTTACCAAGCCACTGCCTCCAACAATCACTAGCAGGGTAAGAGGATGCTTGACTGCTTGGGGACAGTCCTAAGCTTTGGACACTGCCTGGCTACCCCTGAAAGCCTGGTTTTCACCGTCTCTCCTCTACAGGTCCCTGTCCCTACTCAGTTTGCCAAGCGCACTCTCAACCTTCAATAACACTCCAAGAGCCACCTCCTGCGATTGTCCACAGTATACCCAGAGTGAACTAAGGGAAGAGAGATAGTCACTTGTTTAAGTGCAGGTCAGTGTGATACCAGATGCTGTGTGCAGGCTGCACCTGACCTGGTATCTTTGGTGCTCTGTCCTTTCCACTTGGCCCATGGACTCCAGGAACGCAGATGTTAAGAGGTCCAGTCTCCAGGATGCACAGAGGCCACTGGGTAAGCTCTTCCTCCTGGTGTTTGGTATACCCAGCTGTCCCTAACTAGGCTGGTCTTGTCACTCCTTACCTTGCACGATGAGCCTTCTGCTCTGGCCAGTGCCCTTGTCATTTTTCTTTATCTTATCTTTGTTGCTCTCCCAAGCTGGCTGGCTCATCTATTCTCTCACTCATCTCTTCCCTTTCTTCAGGATCCAACTCAAATACCTCTCTACTTGTTTTCACATGGAAACTGCTGCTTTTCAAACTTATGCATCAGAAGATTCCTTAAAACACAGATCTGGTGGGGCCAACCCCAAGCTTTGGATTCAGTAGTCTCAGGGTAGGGTCTGAAAATGTCCATTTCTACTGAGTTCCCAGTTGATACTAGCGTTGCTGTTTCAGGGACCATACTCTGAGAGCCACTGCTTTAATTCTGGTGCTGGGGATTGAATCCAGGCCCTCATGCATGCTACACAAGTGCTCTACCACTGAGCCACCTCCCCTTCCCCAAACCACTGGTTTTAAACGATAAGTTTCCAAAGTGGGTTTGTTGGAGGAGAATTAGGGACCTTGTTGATGGCATGTGTGAAGGAGTGAACTTTCCCCCCATAATCTGGCAGGGTGGTCTGCTTCTATGTATGTAATATTCTTGAGTTCAACATGAAGTTTCAGTTGAAGAAAGACTCAATTATGAAGGGAAGAAAAGTCCAAAGTTGCTGCTCTTCCCTAATCCCAGTGAAATATGCTCTTGCTTCCCAAGGGAGAGTATGGCCTCTCTTTGTTACTATGGCTTCTGAGTTTGTATTTTCCTTCTGGGGCTTCTACATGACTTTAGGGGTAATGTAGACACTTAAAAATTCTAGTAGTTATCTTTGAAAAATTATGAATATGTTTATAAATAAAATTTTTAAAATTTTAATAATTCTTTAGTTCAGGATGAGTATTGTTTATCTGACATATTTAGAACCAGAAGTATATCAGATTTTGTAGTTTTAGATTTTGGAATATTGGCATAGACTTTACCAGTTGAGTATCCCTATTCTAAAATGCTGTAAAATCTGAAAATTTTTGAGTGTCATGTTGATTCTCAGAAAGTTTCATATTTTGGAGAATTTCAGATTTCAAATTAGGGATACTCAGTCTATATACATCTTACTGAGAAGTGGAAAAATATTTAACGTACTTCTCAGATATTAATATGAAGCTGAATTTAAAAAGTGAGCAGTACGAAAGCTGACATAAGGTAGCTTATGAAGCAACTGTATAACTACCATAGAGATAATGTGAAAAATCAGGGTGTTGTAATTTCAATCCTGGGTATCCCCTAAATACCCACATATTGAAGACTTGAGAGGTGGTGGAAGCTTTAGAGTGTCATTGAAGGGAACAGTGGAACTCTACTTCCTTCTACTTCCTCTCTTTGCTTCCATGAGGTGATCAGCTCAAACTGTGAGCCAAAATGAACCTTTCCTCTTTGTAAGTTGATTATCTCAGGAATTTTTTTAACAGTAATGAGAAGCTAATGCACAAGGTGACTGCTGAAAAGACTGAACTTTAGGAAAAATTGTCCTTCAGAACTGTTTGAAAGTCACTTAAGCAGTAGTCTAGTCCCTGAATGCTCTTGAATTTCTCCCCCTTGAGTTCCATGCTAATTGTTCTGTTTTCTTTCTTAAACTAATAAAAGATGAGGATGACATTTTGAAAAGGGCATCTCATTAAGCAGCCTCATCCCCATTGGAGCATCTGGCTCCGTGCACAGTAGACAGTTGGTCATTTATCTTACGGTAATGAGGTGTCATCTCCCTGCATGGGCCTGCCTTCCCCTCCTGCCTGTCTCCATCTTGGCTCTCTTCCCTCCTATCTACCATTCTGTGAGTGAGTGTGTGAGGGAGGACGCATTAGAATTACCCAGTGTCTTCTCCATCGAGGCAAGTGCAGAGTGGCTGGTGGGTGTGGCCCTTACCTGTACACTGTGGTTGGAGGGGAGCTCAAGCTGTCGTAGACAAGCCTCACGTGGCCCTGGTACAGCTCCAGTGCCAGGGGATCATTGTCTCCCTTGTAAAGAAGGATGCCGTTGTCCTTGTCAGTGGCCACCTGGAGAGAGCAGCCAGGACATGGGTTAGAGCTTAGCTGAGGCCCAGGCCCTCAGGACCCATCTCACAGCACCTTCTTCCAGGTGGCTGCTTCTGTCCCCAGCCCAGATCTGAATTCATGTCCAACATGTAGTCTGAAAATTACCAGAAGGCAAGAGCTATACTTATACTTCAGCAAATGCTGCTTAAGCAAATCACTTACTTCAAGGTGCTCATTAACCCCCCACTACGCACACTATTCTGTGTTCACGTACAGCTCTCCCTTGGTATCTGCACAGGATTGGTTCCAGGATCCCTCCAGAATACCAAATTCGGGTGATGCCAAAATCCCTTATAAAAAATAGCATAATATTTGCATATAACATGCATATCCTCTCTTATACTTTAATCTCTAAATTACTGATGATACCTAACTGGATGTAAACGCTTTGTAAATAGTTGTTAAACTCTATCATGTAGGGGATAATGAGGAGGAAAAGTCTATATGTGCAGTAATACTGCCAGTTTTTTTTCTTTTCCCAAATATTTTCAATCTGAGGTGGGCTGAATCTGTGGATGTCAAACCCATGGACGTGGAGGGTATTTATGTTTGTCAGGAGCCTCGCACTCTCTAATCTGTCCTGTCCCCCTGGCTTATGAAACGGCTCCACCAAAGTGCCTGCCCCTTTGGAGGCCTCTGTCTTTTTGCATAAAGCATAATAATAATAGTTAGAAACAAATCGCCAACAACTACCATGTAATTCAATGCATACTATGAATCATGCACTGTGCTGAGAGTCATCCAGGGACTTTTAAAAACACAGGTGTCTGGGCTTCAGCAAGTAGATCAATCTCTCAGGGCTGATGCTCAGGCAAAGATATTCTGAACGCTCTCCAGGGCATTCTAAGGTCTGGCAAGGCTGAGAGCCACCAGCTTCAGCAGCTGCTCCCAGAGGGGCAGCAGGGATGAGTCTAACGGGTCGGTGGGTTCCCACAGCCTGGCCCCTGTCTAGCCTAAGGAATGGGACATGCAATGGGTAAGTGTGAGAGGACACCAGGGTGTCTGGGGTACCGGGGGCCGCCCTGGCCAGTGGGGACCTAAGGCCGTGTTCCCGAGGGTGGGAGTGAGGAAGGAGGGCTACAGGGGGTGACGGCAACTGGAAATGCTTTCCTTCCTGCTGTGCCCACCACCAGCCTTCATCTCAGGGGCCTGCCCATTGGCTGCAAGCTCCACAGCGAGAGGCAGTGTGACGTTTTCCTGCATCTCTGCAATTCCAGGGCCTAGAATAGTGCCTGTCAGGTAGGTCTTTATGGAATAAGCATTTTCCCTGCACACTCTGGGTTCACCCAGGGCTCATGTGGCCATCACCAAAAGGAGGGAAGAGGCTTAGTGTCCAGCAGCAGCCAACCCCGAGTGGCAGAGGCCGTTAATGGGCTGGCACCCTGCAGCGTGTCTCTGGGGTGCCTCCTCAGAACAGTCCTGCAGTCAGGGGTCTGTTCTCTGCCTATCATAAACCTCTGTGGCCACCCTCACTCCCAGAACAACACTTAGGTTGAGCAAAAATACAATTTGGAATGAATGTGCTCTGGTCCAAAGGCAAGGAACATGAAAAAATTATATAGAAAAAATACTTGGGGGCGGGGGATTTAGCTCAGTGGTTTCGCCGCCTGCTGTGTAAGCGCAAGGACCTGAGTTCGATCCCTGGTACCAAAAAAACCCCACAAAAAACCACTTGGTTTTTCATTCCCCCAAAATGTCCTGCTTGTTTGTGCCTCTGGGACTTTGCACATGCTGATTCTCAACTAGCTTCTCCCAGCCTCTGTTCTTCACCCTATCCCTTCAGTCCCTACTCTTTTATGCTCTCTCAGATGAACTACTCCTCCTTCAGCCTCTGAGAAGCCCTTTCTAATTCTTCCCTAAGTGAGGACTACTGCCCCTCCTATGTGCTCCCACAGCACCTCAGTTGTCACTGTGTCTTTCCTTACCATGTTGGATTGACAAGGTGCTTTGTTTGTCTTGTTTACCATTGAATTCCCACTTCCCAGCATAGTGCCTGGTATATCACCGTGGAGCGAGTATTTTCTAGAGGAATCAGTGAAAGAGACCAGAAGTGGGCCTGCTGCACACAGCAAAGCTGGCCCAGGGGGATCTCCAGCTATCCCTGGACTGACCTGGTCTAGCTTCCCTAAAGCTGAATGTATCCTTGATGATGTTTCGGGGGAAGGGGAAGGACTGCTACCACCTGGGACAGAACTTGGCATGTTAGGGACCTTGGAAGGGCAGGGTGAGACGGGACGTACCTGCAGGGAGATGTTGGCCTGGGGCCGGACCTTGGCAGAGGCCAGTTCCACGTAGGAGTCCTTGCCCACGAAGTTGACGGTGATGAGCTTCTCACACCTGGGACCGGCAAAGCCTGGTGGGCAGCGGCAGGTGGGCTCCTGCTGCACCACGATGCACTGCGCCCCGTTCTGGCACTCGTACTGGTCACAAGGGCTGGTCTGTAGCAGGACCATGGGTGGGGGGTGCTCGCAGAACACCCCACTGGGAGGAGGTAGAGGAGCATGGGCGGGGATGGGAGGGGGAAGAGGTGACAGCCACTCATTTACAAAGAACCTCCAGCAGAAAGGCAGTGTGGGATGGGACAGGAAACTTGTGCCGGGGTCTAGTTCCAGCCCTGCCAGTAACTGGGGTGAGTCCGTCCTTCCTCTACGTTCCAGTTTCTCAGTTTTGTTTTTTTTTTGGTACCGGGGATTGAACTTAGGTCCTTGCGCTTGTGAGGCAGGCGGCAGAACCACTGAACTAAATCCCTGGCCTAGTTTCTCAGTTTTTAAAAATAAATGAGTCAAATGAAAGTTCAGGTCCTCAAATTTGAGTGTCATCAAAATTGCCTGGGGTGAAAAGTTGAAATCTGTACTTGTTGGAAGTACAGATTCTCACCCCTGGACA